TACAGCCAGTAATGGAATAATCCTTTAACAGGAAAAGACTGAACATACTGTATTATTCTTTTCACGGCAGTAACTTGAGTAACATCATACTGTCATTGCGCCTGTTTAAAGTGACAATAAATTGACAAATGTACGCATGGATCAAATTATGAGTCTTTATAGTGCCAGGCTGCATGCAGATGCGTAGCCTGCTTAAATATTAAAAGTCAAGAAGAACACACAAATGAATAATCTTATAATTCACTAATGTGTGACATGTCAGCAAAACATTGTGCTGTTTTCAGCTAACAGTTTCTGCTCTGGTATGATGATAGGAAGTCATTTGTATCAAAATGAAAAATGATTAAGTGTTTCTACTCCCTTCATTAGGAGACAGTCAATCGTAAATATCAGTATGAGTGCATATGAAAGTGACTCAATGTTTCACTCGCTAGAACATTTAAATCAGACTGATCCAGCTGGAGTGACCTGCAACATTAACACGTTTTAATGCATCACTGCTGCAACAGAGGTGCTATGACAGAAAGGCATCTTTTCTTTTAGGTCTCACTTTAACAGTGCAAATCTCACAGGCAATTTAGTGCTGTCAGATTCACTACTGTGTATAACTTTAGTGGTGATCATGAATAGTTTCAGATTGCTTTATCTCCTGTGGCTGTTTTATTTGAATCCTCTTGTAAACATCTACTGACAGAAGAGATTGCTAAGCTCCAGCCATCCTAGCCTCCAGCCTCTCTCCTCAGTTGTGTTCTCAGTGGAGCGGAAGGATATACCCCACTTCCTAAAGCTCCACCCTACCCTGTGCTCTGTAGAGGAAAGAGGAGAACATAAAATGCAAAGCTAAGGTACTCCCTGGGGCTTAAACCTTAGGGTGGGAACAGCACAGAAAAAACACAAGAGCTGCTTCATCATAAACCATGGCAGCTTATATGGTATTGTAAGGTGTGGAATGTGTCTGTCACACCTTTACCCAAGTGGACTTGGCTTGATTTTGTAACTCTGGTCATTAGATTTACTTGACCAGGAAGGAAAACCTACCAAAAAAAATCATTGGAAATTTCTAAAGAAATGTCCATTCAATGTCCAAATGCAATAAGTCATTGCTTTGCCTTTACCCTAAGGCGCCATCAGAGTGGCACTTGAGGTGACCTACCTCCACCTTCTGGCTAACAGCCTGCTGCTGCCCAGGTCTGCTGTGCCAGTTTTAGTCAACGCATGCTCCTGGATAAAACACATCACACAATACAGTTTAAGAAAAGGGGGCCTTCTCTGCAGGGTTCTGCATCCTCCTCGGATAGAAAATCTGAGACTTGATGTGCTGTTTGCAACCACATCCTTGGTGTATTTCAACTCCTTGAGGAAATTCTTGTGTGACTGCTGGTAGACTGGATGTTGTCTTCACAATGCAAGCAAGGAGGGTACAATTGTGATAGATGAACAGTAGGAATGGCAGTGCAGGAAGCATGCTGAGGAGGACAGGAAATAGGAAGCACAAGCAAGAATAAACGCTGTTGAAATAGCTGGAGGGAAATTTCCATTCCACTGTCTTAAGGCTCTCCTGTAAGTAATTCTTCTGCTTCCTTGAAAGACACAGCTTGAGTCTTTCCCAGATAGATAAATGGTCTGATAAAAGGAATATATCGTAAGACACATCAGCATAATGAATACATGGGTCCATGAGGACATGCAACTGTTTTTCATATAACATTTGACCAGCCTGCAAAATATAGAGTTGTGCAAACAAATCATTGTGCCAAAACCGCTAAAATTATGACTTACTCTATCATCAGTCCATCAATCACTGAGATGTCTCCTTGTGGTGGAGCTGCTGCAAACTCAAACTGTCATGAGCTATAATGAAACTTAAAGAAACAGTTAGAAGATATGATAGATATCTTAAAGATATTTTAAACTTAAAGAAACAGTTAGAAGATATAATAGATAGTACTCTCATGTCTATACAGAGTACAAAGACTGTCATTAATGGTAGGGAACTAGCATGGCTCTGTCCACAAAAGCTCACTCATATTGCATCATGTTTCTTAGCTGCTTCCCTCTTGGTAATTACCTGCTGGTTGCAGCTTAATATTTAAATTACAGCTATGACAGTGGCATCGGTATGGATTCTCTTCTGACTTTTGACAAGAAAGCAAAGGAGTGTATTTCCTGAAATTTGAAACTTTAATCTCGAGAACATCAATCCATCCATGCATTATTTATACCACTTATCCTGCAGAGGGAGTACCTGGAGAACATCCACAGGGAAAACATGCAAACTCTACACAGAAAACCCTTAGTTGGGTTTTGTATCTAGAACCTTCTTGCTGTGAGGCAGCAGTGCTAACCACTGTGCCACCCTCTAGAGAACAGAAGCTGCTAACTAAAATCATATATGCATTTTCATATTTGTTGGGATTGTGATTTGGCATCTTGCTGTGTTTTTTTTCTCTTACTCTGCTTTTTTCTTTGCATCCATGTCAATGTTATCACCCCATTAAATGGCCATCACAAAGGTCAAGGTCAAGGTCAAAGTGTTTATTTGTTTTATGCACAGTTAGGAAACGTGTTTCCCTGAACAATGAAATTCTTACTTTGCCGTCCACATGAATGCCATACAATACAAGTGAAATATAAAGTAGATGGGCAATAAAACATCTAAATAGCCAGTAAAATCACAAATCTAAGGCACTTTAAAGCAGCAAGTGAAGGGAGCAAATAAAAATACAACAAGAACACAATATAATACAGAGAGAATATATACTATGTGGGAGCTGTGGAGTGTAAATACTCAGTAGTGAGTGTGCAATTATGCATGTGCAAAATGAGTATGTAAACAGTACCGATGGAATTACATGAGGTAGATCCTTAGTCAGCTGTTTAGGAGTCTGATGGAAGTCGGAAAGACAGTTTTTCAGTCTAGAAGTCCTGCATTTCACACTTCTGAACCTCAGACCGGAGGGTAGGGGTATGAACAGACTGTGCTGGGGGTGGGTGGGGTCCTTGAGGATGGAGGCAGCTTTCCTATGCAACGGTAGAAGCTGCAAAGGATCCTAGGCGACATGCCAAACCTCCTCAGGAAGTACAGCCACCGTTGGGCCTTCTTGACCAGCCGTGTGGTGTTAAGTGTCCAGGTGAGGTCCTCACTGATGTGGATGCCCAGGTATTTCAAGCTGCTCACCCTCTCCACTTCGAGCCCCCGGATGAACAGTGGCTGATGAGAGCTCCTCTCCTTCCTCATCTCCACTATCATCTCCTTCGTCTTGTAATAACCAGTTGTTATTGCAACCATAAATATGATTCATTATGGGAAAACTGCACCAACCAGTAGGCCAAAAGGTGCATATCATTGGCGACAAAGTGTTGTTTCAAAGTGATAAGTACTTGTATTAACTCAAGCCTAACTCTGCCTAAAATTTATGTGTCACATTTATTGGTGTAACCATAATGACAAAAGTCTGGCACATGATAACCATCTTCCAAACACACTAGGAGGTGGTGTAGGGCCTTGTTAACCCACGCCTATGTATACTCCTGATGACAGACTAATGGGGCGATAACATTCAAAGTACTTATCCATATTTATATCTCAGTCTCTTGAGACCAAATCCCGCTTGAGAACCTGAAAGTTTGCTGGAAGATTTTTCTTTTGTTCACTGTAATTATTTACTAGGTGGTTTGCTTTTATGTTTTAAGCTTCAATCTGTAATTAACATAAAACATAAAATATAAAATGCAAATGTGGCAAATTATTTTTCTTTCTGGAGTTTCACATAAACAATTCTGCCCATTTGATCATATCTGAGGTTCATAGAAAGTGAATATACAGGCTTGGGAACCTATGGTCAATGAAAATGTAATAATGTGAAATATAATAATATATAATAATACAATATAACTTCAAAGTCACCATGTGATCCATTTTTTGGTCTTTAGCTTTTTTCCATCTTAGAAAAAGCTTGGAAAAAAAACTATTTGCAGCAAGGTCACAGTAAGTCCTCCACCTCTGTCGGCAGGAAGTGCCGAGCACAAATCGTCTGCGGGCCTCTGCCCATCAGAAACAGGAAGAACAAAGTGCAAACCAGCAATGACGCTACACCCATCACACTAGAAAGATTGATTGTGTTATTGAACACCTTGGTGATGTTAGAACAGCCAATGATAATGGTAACCTAAGATTTCAAATCTAATTTAGATTAATATACATTAAAATCATGGGGTTTTAGTGGCTCCACTTGGGAAAATACCAAATAAAGTCAGATTTTTTTTGCCCATTTTCAGGTAAAAGGAACTTTAGATTGAATCTGTAGACCTTGTGGCATCTGTAATCGTGCTTTGTTTCCTCTTCTTTTGTCAAACTAAAGAGACTGAAACAAACTGACACCTACAGCCCTGAACCATCAAACACAGAATGGGTGCATTTTCACAGCATATAAGATCTATATATAGATTCTTGGCAATAGTAAATTGAATCCACTCCAGGCAATTTCAGTTTGAGGTAAACATATCCATCACATATTAAATAATTTAATAATACCTCACATGCAACATGTTTCCTTCAAAAAAGAAAACACTTTGGGGGTTCCTGGGAATCTTTACAGACAGACTTTTACATGTGCACCATTTGCAAGATAGTGTAAAAATTTATAAACATAAGACATGCACTCCACACACACATGTTGGGATCACATAGCAAAACAACACTGTGTTGTTGTGTATACAGGCTATATAAAGTCTAATTACATTGTGAGCAGTGGTGATAAATCACTGGAGTCTTAATCAAAGCACTACAACAGAGAGAGTCATCAATCTCTTACTACAGCACAGCACAACGTCGCTGTGGCATCTCCTCGTCTTGTGACTGGCATCCCCACTCTCTGCTCAGCATGGGACATATCGCTGCCTGTGACATGTTGTAATTAGCACAATCAACATGACTTTGGACGTCCTGACAGAAAGGCATCAAATGTCAAATGGATATTGAGATATATAGGGGTTTAAGCTTACATATCCTAATACCCATGTCAACGAATGTAAAGGAAGTGTTTTCTGTTTTCTGAAAAACCAGAGAGCAAGATGTGGACAATATCAGCAGGTCCTCTGATCGAATACTGAAAATACTGAATTTCATATCATAGTTTCTGCACAGATGAATTACCTGTAGTTGGTTGTGATGGAGGGCAGAGAGCTGGGTGACCTCAAAGGCATGATAGTTAGATTCAGAGTGTCCCTACCTAAGGTGGAGGAATGACAGATGGTATTTCAGTGGAATCTATAAAAATGTGTCAGCACTGGAAGATGTTTTGACTTCCAGTCCTCTGCTGCCCTACTTTAGATCCAGTGTACAATCTATATCTCCTGATGCTTTAAAGAGCCTCAAAATATCTCCGGAGGCAAAACTAATAGCGGAGACCTTGTTCCAACCTGATGATTTCACTACAGACATACCTGATGATGTGCCCAGGAGCAATAGTCTCACAGCAAAAGGCCTCATTCATAACTGTTTTTTAGTGTGTCTTCTGGGCTTCCAACGGCCATTTTTTGATGAAATTTCATCAAATCGCTGTGCTGTTTAACATGAGAGCATAGCTGAGGTTAAATGAATGAGGACAAGACAGACAGAGCAAATAAAAGGAGAGAGAAGGAGGAGGGCTGAGATGGCAGGCAGTCAGCTATGAAGGACATGGCCGTAGCAGTTATTTTTAGTTATCAGTTTTCAGAGGCTCTCATTTGGAACATCTCATTAAAAATCTGAAAAAAAAATCTTAAAGCTCCATCAAACCATTCGAATCACTGAGACTCTGAGAAAAAACCCCTCAATGCCCCACTGCAAGTCAGACGTGTGCACGTGCACACACACACACACACACACACTAGCAATCTCATATACTACAGCACTAGGTATTTCGTGAATACATTATCCATATCTTTGGTGACCTCTGCATGGTGACCTCTGCAAAAGTTATCTCCTTCACTTTCTCTTTAATATTTGAGGGGGTGTGGACAGATGGATTTATTATGTTCTTGTGCCCACAGGCATGTCTCTTTAAATGCAAAGAAGCCCATTCAAGGATTATTAATCATTCTATAATGAGAGATTAAACACCAAGATTCATTAGCACAATGTGGACACAGTAAATCAGATAGCCTACTTGAGTCTTCACTAGTAAAGTCATTAAACTTAATAACATGATCTCAGTTTCATGACTTATTCATAAGTGCCTCATTGTGGAGCAATTCACAATAATAGCAACTCAAAGCAGTACATCTGTAACAAAATACATTTTTATGTTGTTTTACATTTTTATTTTGATAAGTAATAACACAAGAAGAAAGGACTGATTGAAATTTGACAACTGAATTATTAATTTATTTACAGTTTGCTCCTGCTCTTGAAACTGTTTTATTTGACTCAAATGGGCAATTTCATCTGGCCTCTCCTTGACTGTTAACATTAACTAGTTTTACAGATAATTGCTAACCTTATGGCGCTGAACCATACAGTGCAGAGCAATTATCAACTAATTACTAAGAGCTATACTCAATTATTCAATATATAGTCAGTGGTCTCTTTGCCATTGTTAAATTTAGTGTTCTAATATAGCCTATATTTTTTTTTTATTTTCTTTTTTATTTAGAAAGGACTAACTCCATTTCTGCATGAAAAAAAGTATCATCATTTGGACAATTATGCCAAATACACTCTTGGACCATGGACAGTTATGTCAAAAATACAGTTTTATAGTCTACGAATACATTCCAGTGGGCCTACTGGAAATGAAGGGTAAATACTGCCATACGTTGGCTATGTGGCGTATTCGCCACTTTTGTGATGGGTTGTTAATGTTGCCTTCAGGGCTACAGGAAACAATAAAGATCTAAGTTAACTTGTCGGTCTCTTATCCTCTTCAGGTCCTAGCTTGACAATATAATAGCTCTCTTCGTTTCGGTTTAAAAGATCGTCTAAATATACCTTTGGCCCAGAGAGTATTATGCTATTTTTGCTTGAGAGTATTTGTATTTACTACTACCAACTTCGGTACTTGAAGGTAACTAGATGAGTATCCAAACATGGCGGAAAAGGATGAGCCGTAAGTAGCTGCTGAAGAAACAAGCAACCGACAGTTATTAACTCTCCGAAAGATGCTCTCAAATCTGATTAATATACGAAAGCACAGCGTGAATGAATCTTCTTTTATTCTCTCTTTTTAGGGAGAAGAAAAGAAGCAGAGTAGTGGAGCTGACTGAGAAGTTAGTAATGAATTGGTAGAACTGGCGAAAGGTTTGCGGTTGTTAGGAAGAAGGACGGTTAACGTAGCTTATGAACTAAATGTAAACAGAATATATTAATACATAGTCTACGAACAAAATGCTGGCTAGATGAGCGTGAATACCTAACACGTGTATATACGGTGATTGTTATGTAGTATCATTCACCTCCATACCAAGTTGTATCTTCTCACTGTTAGCTCTTCACCTAGCCTAGCTACCGGGAGCTGTCCAGGGAAGAGAGACAGTAGACCAAAATGCTGCAGGGTCAGAAACGCCCACTTGTCAGAAAAATGCTAATGTATTTTCATAGAGAGATTAAACAACAAAACACTCAAATATGTTGGGGAGCAGATGCCGAAATAGGGAAGACTTTGAAACAAGTAAATGTTTACTTATATTTAGTTTCTGGAAGTTCCTGAATTATTCCATGTTCTGCTGTGAACTGTAAATGTCACCTTTCCTATCCAAAGGTCAATCGCAGCAAAGAGATTTGGCTTTGACTGATTTTATTTATTGCATGATGTCAGTAGGCTTATTAGTTTTGCGTAATATCACACCAGTATTACGAATGCCACACAATGAGATTTAGACTGTCAGAGATTTCTGCTTATGATAAAACCTAACTGTACATGTTATGTCAGGATGGTTGTGGATGGAGGCAATGGGCGCACCTGTGAGTGGGAGGGGCGATGGAACCATATCAAAAAATTTCTGGAAAGATCAGGGCCCTTTACCCATCCTGACTTTGAACCCAGCACAGAGGTAACAATGGCAGGCCAACAATTTCATTTACACGGATTGTGTGATGCAACCATATTATCTGTCAATAATAAGTAATGTCTTAATCATCTCTTATCACAGTCATTACAGTTTATGTTAGAAACCTGCAAAATCCTGGTCATAGGTGCTGGTGGTCTAGGATGTGAGCTGCTGAAAGATCTGGTACGATCACTATTATTACACGTATTTGAAGGGTGTAATAATCATGAAATGAATAGTCAACATTTAGTGTTCTTGTTTTGTTCTTGACTCAGGCTTTATCAGGCTTTCGTAACATTCATGTTGTCGACATGGACACCATTGATGTTTCTAACCTGAATCGACAGTTCCTCTTCAGGTCAGTACGATTATGGAATGCATTCTGTGTAAAGTTTCTGACCTTTATTATTAAGTAATGTTATATTTCAATCAAGTAACGATTTCCTCTTATTGTGTTATGTTGTATGTTTATGTTGGCCAGGCCAAAAGATGTAGGCCGACCGAAGGCGGATGTTGCAGCTGATTTTATCAACAACCGAATACCTGGATGCTGTGTAGTCCCGTATCCTTTTGAAAGAAATACATTGCGTGTCAGTGCTTCAAAAACTGTTGCAAGATACTGCTGTATATTCTAGATAGCAATGCAGCGGATCAAAATGCATATTGAGAAACCATTATCCAAATGTAAAGAAAATTGTGAAACTTCATAGGATTGGTATAGCATAATTGCAAACAACTGTACCTTATCTAAAAAAATATACAATTTAGGAATGCAGACATGCAGTAGACACCTTAATGTGTTGTGCAGACATTTTAAGAAAATTCAAGACTTAGATGAGACATTCTACAGACGTAAGTATCTTTATGTCCTTTAACTTCCTACTAATCTAATGTTGGGCATGGTTAGTGGGTGGATTAGTACAGCCAGTTCTGTTCACTTAAAATTAACTACTTGAGACCAAAAGATGGCCAAAACTTCACTTCACTTGCTCGTTATTTTGTAGAACACTGGCTGCCTGACTAAAAAGCTGCTTCAGAATGATGCATTCCATATCAGCACTGCTCACGTGTTGAATTACACTGGATCAATTTTTCAGCTCTAGGATACACATATTTTTATATGATGAAATATTATTCCACAAGATTTTGTTACACCCCTACAGGTTGGACTGTGTTATTATCAGAAATTAGATTTTAGTTTTTTTTTTTATTTCTTGTTTTTATCTAGAATTTCATATAATTGTCTCTGGGCTGGACTCTGTAGTTGCCAGGAGGTGGATGAATGGTATGCTGGTAAGTTAATCCTTTTTGTTACATTTTCCAGGTGCCTTAAATAGATTTTCTATGAATAATGTTTGAAATTAACAATAGTAAAACTGTGAGATTCTGTGCAAGAAGGAATGTGGTTTGTGCAACCCCTCTGTCTTTCTGTGCAGCTGTCTTTGCTGGTGTATGAGGATGGTGTCTTGAACCCAAGTTCCATCATTCCTTTAATTGATGGTGGGACCGAAGGCTTTAAAGGCAATGCCAGAGTCATTCTCCCTGGCATGACTGCCTGCATCGATTGCACCCTGGAGCTTTATCCTCCCCAAGTAAGGAAGCGTTTTTTAACAACCACAACTTAGTTGTCTTACAAAAATAGTTTCTTGTCAGTTTTCTAAAATACATTTTTCTTTGTAGATCAACTTCCCCATGTGTACAATAGCCTCTATGCCTCGTTTGCCAGAGCATTGTATTGAGTATGTCCGGATACTGCTGTGGCCCAAAGAGACACCCTTTGGAGGTATGACATCACACTGTAGTTATTATTATTTCTGTCAGTGGTCTTTGTAATAAGACCAACTTGTAAGACCAGTGAATAAAATGGTAGACTTTATTTTGCTTGTGTGTGTGGGTGGATTAGGTGTAGCCCTGGACGGAGATGATCCAGAGCACATCCAGTGGGTGTACCAGAGATCTCTGGAGAGGGCAACGGAGTTCGGCATAACAGGAGTCACTTACAGACTAACCCAGGGTAAGCATACATAGCACATCTATCTGTTGCAGCCCCAACAATCCTGTATTCGTGCAGTTCTGCTGGGAGAGTAGTGCGGGTTTATAAAACTGTTGCTGTTTTTGCTATTTTGGAACCTTGATTAAATAAAGGGAAAATGTTGCAACTAACATGCTTTATAGGGGTTCACTCTGATCAGCAGATTTATATAGCTTTTATTTCTTTGGTTTGCTTTTTTAGAAGTGAGAAAAACATTTTTCCAATATCCTTTTTAACTGTTTCAGGTGTTGTTAAGAGGATAATCCCAGCTGTAGCATCTACAAATGCTGTCATTGCTGGTAAGTACTAAGCTTGAATGCGAAAGGCTTTATGCCCCGCCATATAAGAGTTAATCATTTCCAAACAATACTCAGTATGCAGACTTTATATAAACAGAAGTGTGTGCCTGAATGTAACTGTTTTTCATGCTTTATCTGACCCAGCTGCTTGTGCAACTGAAGTTTTTAAAATAGCATCAAGGTGAGTTTGCAGGCTCTGTTTGACAGATATATGCCCAAAATGAATTGTTACATTAACTGCACCTTTCACTATTTCTCATGATGTTACCCTTTTCATCTGTAGTGCTTATATACCTCTCAATAACTACATGGTCTTCAATGATGTTGACGGCCTGTACACCTACACTTTTGAGGCAGAACGGAAGGTTTGTCCATCAGTTGCATCGGCCAGTTCATGCTTGCTACAGTGATGGGAGTAGCCTTTTGGATGAAATATGTTTATGTTCACTCCTGTTGTAGGAAAAGTGTTCAGCCTGCAGCCAAGTACCTCTGGACTTGCACTTTTCACCATGCTCCAAACTCCAGGAGGTGTTGGACCATCTGACTGAGTGCGCCTCCTTGTAAGTTTGTCTACATTATTGGAATTTATTACCAATTACTACAGTATAACTAACATATTCACATTCTGCTTATGGTCATGCCGCGTTATCTTGTGGTTTAATATATAGGCATGTTTTCATGTATTGTCTTCAGCAACCAGATATAATATATGTTTTTTTTCCAGACAAATGAAATCACCTGCTATAACAGCAACAGTGGAGGGAAGGAACAAAACACTATATTTACAGGTATTAACCTTTGGTTTCACACTGGTTTGTGTTTTCAGTTCAGTCTCATGATAATGTACTGAATGTCTGAGGCTCTCATGGTAATATGAGGCATGTCCTGATGAAATCAGGCAATTATACAAACTTTTAGTTTGAGCTAAGTTCAACTGTTACTTTGTTTTACAGTCTGTTGCTTTAATTGAACAGAGGACACGACAAAACCTGTCCAAAACACTTAAGGGTAAGGTGCTTTATTTATAGTTAATGTGTTTACTAGAAATTGCACAGCATAGACTTTGCAGTTGGTCCAGTGAATACTCTGACCCATTTATGAACATGTCTTTTCCAGAACTGGGGCTAACTGACAGACAAGAGCTGGCTATAGCTGATGTCACCACACCCCAGACCATGTTGTTCAGACTCTGCTTTACCTCATAGGACAGTCTCACACACTGCCACAACTACTTGATGTCATTCTTGTTTCTTGGCCAACTATGACTTCATGTATAATATTTAAAGTGACATTTACAGCATATTCTGTCACAGTGTTAATATTTAAAGTGGCCCAAAACTGGACATTTACAGCATATTCTGTCACAGTGTAAATAATCATACATTAGCTGATTTCATAGTTTTAATGTACTTATTGACTAAAGTTTATGTTTTGCACTGAAAAGCCAAATCAGAGTTCAAACCTTGTCATGTTTTGGTGATAATAGTCTGCAAATATTAATTGTTTTTACATTAATGTGTTATCTGCATTAAAAACTAAAGTGTGCTCTGTGCTAAGAGACTGGCAATCACTACTTTGGAAAAGATTATTATATACTTGTTCTGGTTTTGAATGTTTTGAATGTATATTTATTTCAAATACAGTTTTTGAGTTGCAGTAACCACCAGTGTTGTGTTACTTGAGTCCAGGACTTGAGCTGACTCGAGTCCAGATTTTCAGGATATTGATATTAAAACCTTTTCACCTGCACCATGCTGTATCCAAAACACTTTCGCCTTTTTGTAAACTTTTTTTTTTTTAATCAAATTGCTGCGCAACATGGTGATGCAACATATAAAGTTTGAAATATAAAAAGGTGAGAGCTGTTTCAGTTGTGTTTGATGTAGACCTTGATGACTGGCTCAGGTAACAGGGACCTTACACAGATTATTTCTTGGTGACTTGGACTCGAACAGTGGGGACTCGAGACTCAAATCGGACTTGAGGTGACTCGACCAGAACACTGGTAACACCACAAATGGTAATCAAAACTGATAATGTATGAAATGGAATAAAATGTTTTTCTCAAAAAGTACTGTCTATTTTCTATATGTGCAGTGTGATTGTGGGAGTCAAAAAATACATAATGTTCAACAAGTTCTTTATGTAGGATTACTATAAGATCCTTTTGGCTTCAGAAGCCCTTTGTTTACATGTTTCAGCAGATTCAACATTTAATTTCCAAGGTATGGTTAACTTAGAAGGAAGGCTCAAACACAAACATATTGACCTGATGATATATACATATTGCAGTTAAAGATAGTCATAGAACTGGAAAATCTACATCTGCTGACTTTTTTTTGATTGGACTTCCTGACACGCACAGTCGCACCAGAACATGACGTCATGGTGCTACGTGGAATAGCAAGAAGGCTAATGCTAATGCTAGTTGGTTTGTAAGTTGAGAGCCACCAAAACAAATAATGACAACAGAGCAAGGGAGCCGACAACTCCTGGATTAACCACCGGAATGTTCTTGCTTTGATAATAACGGCGTATTTCCTGATGCGGTATTAGAGACATCTGTATTTGTACATGACGTTCTTGTAGAGATTATACGATCCTGAGTGCCAGCTCGCGAGCTGTAACTACCGAGGATTGATGTTTTCCTTGTAGCCACACCAACGTTATGCATTGGCGAACTTAGCTTTGCCAACTAGCTAGCGGGTAGCTACCTGACAGCGAGGCTTTTCTTGACAGACCGAAATGTGAAATCGCAAAATATAGTTCGTTTAGGTTAAACCTGACAACAAAAATGCAGAGAAAGACGGTAGTGATAGAGGACTCCGTGGTAGCGCCGAATTCACAGTAAGATTCGTGGAGCAGTTTCTTAAGTTAGTGACAGCTAACGTTAGCTAGCCTAATAGCCAAAATGAGTTGGTTCAACGCATCTAACCTGTCCAGCTTCGCTAAACAAGCTTTAACAACAGCTCAGAAGTCCATCGACCGAGTGCTGGATATCAAAGAAGAGGACCAATGGGGTGACACAACTGTAATGCCCTACGACGGTGAGTAATGTTACATAGAGTGGTGTCAGCTAATGGTGTTACATACAAATTTTGGATTACAAGTACTTCAGAGATCAACAATGATGATATTATTGCAGATGTTACATTACCTGGAAAGCTGTCACTAAGTGGAGGATGGGGAATGGCACAGTGGGAAGCACCCCCTGAAGAAAAGACCACCACAACTCTTCCTCCCTCCTCTGAAGCCATTACTACTCCTGTCACCCGCACAGTTGTGGATGAATCCGAAAACTTTTTCAGTGCCTTTTTGTCACTTGGAGATGTACAAGGTGTCACCAAAACCCAGGTTGTGTCTGTACCCCCTACTAAGTCCCAAAGGCAGAATGAGGAGAAGGAAAAGAAAAACAAAGATGCTGTGATCCAAAAAGATGTGGAGATCCAAAAGTCAGCACCTGCTAATAAGAGTAATAAGAATCAGACAGCTGATGATGGCCAGCAAGTGAAGTCAGAGTCCTCACCAGAATCACCTTGTGCAGAAACTGTCCTCCTGCAGTCAGTTTCTCCTGTTTCCTCCTCTAGTGATCTTCCCTGTAACCCTGACAGCAAAATGGACACTGTAAAAACCGATGATGGCTCAGCAATTTCTCTAGAATCAAAAACAGAGCAGTCACAGACACTATCAGAACACCAGGCTGAGCAGGACACCCCAGACTCCTCTAAACCTTCTGCTGTCACTTCTGAACCTAAGAGCTCTACCCCTTCTGATCCTTCGCCCTCCCTGTCTTCTAAGGAAATACTCCTTGAGCAAAAAGACTCAAAGGTGGAGGACCGTCAAAGTGATACCCCCTCTCCTCCAGTTAGTGCTTTCTCCTCAGGAACCTCTACCACCAGTGACATTGAAGTACTCGACCATGAGAGTGTGTTGAGTGAGAGCTCTGCCAGCTCCAGACAAGAAACTGGGGAGGGAAAGGCAGGCCTTCACTTAATGCAGGGCTCCTTTCAGCTTCTCACTGCCTCCACCTGTGGAGAATTCGCCCGCCTGGAGGACTACCCCAAGCTTACAGAGAGCTCTGGCTCCTCCTCGGATGCATTTGAACGCATTGATTCTTTCAGTGTGCAGTCACTGGATAGCCGGAGCGTCAGTGAGGTTAACTCCGATGATGAGATCCCTGGCAGTCGGACGCTAGCGTCTCTCACTACAGGCCCTACTCCTCTAACAGTGTCACCAGCTGTATGTCAGAAGGATGAAGGTGAAGTGGCAGAGAAGGTAGGCGAGGAGGAAGAGGGATTCACTGAAATGATGAGGGAGCAGTCATCAGATGAGATGGAAGAGAGTGGACGGAGTGCGACACCTGTGAATAGTGAGCAGCCTGAAGAATTGATAGAACAGAAACAGGAATCTGAGGCAAATGTCACATTGTCTGATCCCTCCTTCAACACTGAAGAGCAGATCACTCCACCTATCACAGAAGAGATGAAAAGTGTCTCAACAGTTAAGATACTGGAACTTCAAAAGGTAACAGCTGGCATCAAAATCCTATGTAGCTGGTAATGTCTGTCGTAAATATTTGTTTTAAGCACATATCCATATGTTTTTGAGTTTGGGCCAATATTTACTTGGGGGTGAGGTTATAGTGTAGGCATGACTTGGTCAAAATGCAAAATGTAAGTTTACAAAGGCCATATACTTTGTCTGTGTGGATCATGTTGACCACACTAGAGCTTATTCTTCAACTCCAGCATGCCCTGCCTGTGGTGCATATCTTGATTTTGATTGATTTTGATTTATTCTTTCTTTCAAGCATGTAAAGACAGTTGATATGTCAACACACATAATTTTACACATATCCAACAAATGCTAATCCAATATCAATTTGCTTATATGCTTGAATGGAGTAGGAAGAAGTCAGACTTATCCAGTCCTACCCCATGACATCATCTTACCATCATTGGTTTGCAAGCAGTATCTCTACATAAATAATTCTCTTCTACACCACACAAGTAATATACTAAAAAAATATAACAGTGTTAACATTCTTACATAATTACATTCTTAAATAATTATCTTCTACACCACACAAGTAATATACTAAAGAATTATTACAAAGTGTTAACATTCATACACCACACCCACAATGTTCCATC